TCCGTAATTATAGTTTGTGTTTGAAAACAAGGGACGAATGAATCACTTAGTCTTTATTATGAATGATTTAAATATGAATATATGATTTGTTATATAAACCTTTTTATTTTGTGATTAATTATCTAATTTTTAAAATATTTGGAAATAAATAACCAGTCACTTAAATTAAGTCTCTTATTTACCAAATTTTATTTTACCAATATTTTATACGTATTCATTCCACGGATTATCATTAAATAGAATATGGTAAGCCTCTTTTTTATGTGATTAATCATCTAATTTTTTAAATATTTGGAAATAAATAACCAATCACTTAAATTAAGGACCATGGCTTTTGTATAACTTTTTCAAATTTCAAATTTGTTTCAAATAACAATATTTACATGTATTGATGAATTTCTTTTTTTTCAATTTTCGTATATGATAAGAGATAAATGATTATGGTCAACATGTATTCATAAATTTCCCTAATCTGCTTGTACAGTTTCCGGTCCGATATCAATTCATAATGCGTATTGAATGATTTTTTAAAAACATTACGTACTTCGGGTATTATAGAGTTGTATATAAATAAATATTGATGGGATATTTTATTTTTGGAAGACATGTCACGAATTTATATTATTTGATGATTGGTTGATTTTTTGAGGGCAACTAAAACCGGTCTTTATTATGTTAAATAAACTGATTTTTATTAGTGAAATTGCACTCCATACACTCCAGTAAGTGGGAAATTAGGAGAATCCCCGACGAAACTGTTTGACAATGTGTAAAGGACACCGTTGCCCCTATGGTTTAGCTGTGGAACTAAAAGATTACGAAATATATTGATAAAGATTTAGATAGATATGGATATCCTTCATATCTGATGTCAGAGAGGAGATCTAGGTTAATAGATTTGCAATTTGAAATTTGAAATCGTATGATTGGGAAATTCTTCTTCAAAACCACTTTCCGTTTCTAAACCTCTGTCAATATCTAAAACGTGAAAAAAATCGGTGACCAAGGAAATGAGGAATCGATCTGAAGGGGAGCCAGCACAGAGACTACCGGAGAGGATGTTTGCTCTCGGCCAGGAACCCGTGGGTATGAGAGTTACACCGTACCACAAACCATTTGCGATTAGCGATATAATTCGCGCACTCGAGGATGATAAAGTCAAAGTTCTGCGTAGTTCTCCTTTTGGCAAGCTTGTTGAATTAGCAGAAAAACCGACATTCTCAGGAAGATTTGGGAGATATATATTATGTCCAGGCAATTGAAGGTGAGCAAGGAACATGAAGCGTGGTTCTTGTTTGCAGCCAAACCAATTTGATTTTTACTGAGGGAATTTGCCATTGTAACCGGTCTCAACTGTGGGAAGTTTCCAGCGCGTGGAAAAAGGAAGGCAAAAAAAGAGCAGTAAACGAGAGGCCATACTGGGGTGAGCTTTTCAGAACATTGATAGAAGTCCTTGTGAGCTCAGTCGTAAGGATGCTGAAAAACAGAAGCGTAAGTGATAAACAAACAAGGATAAAATATGTGTTTCCTGCTCTTCTCGCAGCAGTAGTTCTTCCCACAACTCATACATCTCGGATTTTACATGAATATGCCAAGAAGATAAAAGATTTGGAAGCGTTCTTGGCATATCCATGGGGTCGTGTATCGTTTGAGTTGCTTATCAGCAGTATCAAAAAGAGGAATGAAGTATCTCTATCCCAAAATACTATAGCTCTAAAATGTTTTGTCCTAGCGTTACAACTTGTAATGATTGAAGCTGTGCCTGCTCTTACGGAAGGTGTTCAGGAAGGAGGTTCGTCAGGATCAGATAACGAGTATAGTGACGCTGAAGAACGTAAGGATGATGAGAGAAATGGGAACCAAAGTATATGTCCAGTCCATCCTCGTGAAACCAACCTAGCTAGAAAGGTAATGAGTTGGTGGGATTTACGTATGTAGTAATTAGAATGATTTTCTATTTAGGAAATGTTTTAAAATGACCTATGCAGGCATCTGTATTGTCAATTATCTCACTTGGGAAAGAAGAATTTAACTGTGAAGCTCAGTTTGGTTGCTCCGATGATGAAGAAGATGATGGTGTAGACTATCTAGTTAAGTTAATTGAAGATGTTTTTCCCTTCATTCCTTCCCTTTTTACCGGTAGTGCTTCAAAAAATGACATCGAGAGGATGAGGGAAGAAACAAGAAACGAAACAGAAGATCGTAAGACAAAGAAAAAAAATCAACCCACGCGACTTCCGATGTTCATGTCGCAGAATGCACTGCAACGGTGGTTAAGGGTCGTTTAGAAAATGATTTTAACCGTTTCTCAGAAGAGGTTAATCGACTATCCGGTCATCTTTCAACTATGGCAACAGATATGAAGATATTTAGAGCAGCATTTTCAACAATGGAAACCAGTATTGTGAACAATGTACAACATATGTTGAAGACCTTTGAGAAGGAGATACTGAATAGTGTCTCAAAACCTGTTAATGTATATCTTGTGAGGAGATCGGAAGAGGTCACGGAGCCTGGTGCTGTTAACTCTCTGAGAATACAACCTTTAGCGCTTATAAAATATTGGATGTATCCCCAGATATGTCGGACACCCATTTCAGTGATGGAAGTGAAGCACGTGTGCGTGGAATTGATGTAAATTTCTGTACAATCTGATTACTGGAGAAGGACTAATTGATTTGCAAATAATATGCAGGTTCCTTTGGTTTCAGATGAGCTGTTACAGGGAAAAAGCAGGGGAGCAAACATATTTTTTGGTGAACCGTCATCAATGATACATTGAAATTCGATACGGATGTGATAATTGACAGTGCGATGTGTTTTTCTCACAATATGGTAAGTTCAGTTTAGTAATGTAAACTTAGGCTGTTAGATTTAAAACGTTAGGGGTATTTTGTCCATTCAGTGATGAATCATTAATACTGTATTTCCTAAAGTTGATTACAGTATTTGATTTAGGTAGATAATAAAAGTTGTAGCTTATGCGGATGTTTTTTTTAGCCGGCCCCAATTTTTAATAACCACAAACAATATAATTTCTACATACGATGCAGGTATCTCCAATTCTGGTTAACCAAAGCCTCAATCCTGAACCTCCTCATGTCACTGCTTCTGATGGCTTTACTTCTCCATATGCAACTCGTGAGGCAGAAGCAACAGTATGATGTGTAGTATACTCTTCATTAGATTATTGGTGTAAAATCTTTTTTAATATGTCTTTATATGCAAACTGTGGATCCAGGTGTTCATTTTGAAGAACCACATTTTTCTCTAGGCTTGACTCATGTAGAGTTGAACAACTGTAATTTAGCTTCAGAAGTCGTAAACAATGAATCCGGTCAAATGCGTATGGACAATGTTCCTGCTGTTACAGTCGAACTTGGCGAGGCCCCTTGCAACTAATTCAAGAAAAGCAAGCGACAGAAGGTACTTCCTAAAGCTTTAGAGGGTGACTACGAATGTGATAAGAAATTCTTGAGTCGAGCTTGGGATGCACACCTAGCTCGTAGTAGAAGTGGTGATGACAATGAGGATGGTCAGAAATACAGAAAGCTGAGAGAGATGTTTAAAAGCCCATTTTAAGTTTTTTATACAATAAAATGGAGTAACCACGTGCTTCAGAAGTATCCACCAATAACATTAACCAAAAGTCCCTCTTTCACACTTATATTGTTTTGTTGTTTTAGTTCCTTTGTTGTAAACGGTGTTAAGATTAAAAGCAAAGATATTGCTGCACAGGTGGACAAGTCATCACATCTACCAGCTAAGGTTACTTCCATTTTTAAAAATTTCAGGATATTTCATTATGTCTATTAATTTCATTTTTCAATTATGTGAATCGTAATTGAATTCTTTGTTGGAATGTAGGTTGTTGATGTCCTCATTCAGTATACGTGCTCTGTATATGACTCTGCGTGTAAATACTGAAAGCGACACGAAGTTTTTATCGCAGTTGTCAAAGACTTATGGTAGGTTCTCCAAAGTCGGAAAGAAGGAGGGTTTTAAGTTTCCAGCTAGCTTGTTGGATACCTTCAAATCAGGTTGGCCAAGCATCGACTTAGCATCCAGGTTTTACTTTCTTTTTAACTTCGATAAGACTCATTGGGTTGGTATCTGCATCGATGCCACAAACTGGCATCTTCAAGTTCTCGACTACAACATCTCAAAAGAAAACTGATTCTACAATGTTTAAAGAGTCGGGCCAGTTTGCTGAAATGTTTCCACACTTACTAAGAAAAAGTGGGAAACTGATAGCGTGAGGGATTTGAAGCTTTTACCCATTGATAAACCACACACAGTTCTGCAGATGAATCATCAGTTCTACTCGGCGGTAACTGCGGTTCTACTTATTCAAGCTCATGCATTTGGTGGTGTGGAAATATGTAAATGCATAACCCCCAAACTCATTGACTTGGAGGTTGAAAAAGTTGCAGTGAGCAATGTCGAGAGTTACCATGGCATCTAGCGAACACTTTCCAGACGTTTCCCCAAGTTACTCTATATTGAGGGATGTATAGACCCTTTTCTTTGTCTTTCTTTCAGTTCCTTTGCCTTATGGTTAATGTTTGCATAACTTTCAGACCTATTATGAAGCAAAGTTTTATTATGAGCCGGTGAAGATAATTTATTACATCATGTGACGCTTAACTGTTGATGAGTTAATATGGGCCAAATTTCCTACACAATGAAAGGCGTAAACCCAATTACTACCACCGTCGAATACCGTAAATCGTCCCCTATAACAACTCCGACTATTCCTGCCACTTAGTCGGCTAAGTTAACATATTACAATGGGTTTACTTAGTAGTGTTTTAACTAAAATTAATGTGGGTCAAATTTCTTTGTTTAGTGTTGGGCCTAAACTCTTGTTTTGTTTCCAGTACGCCGTCGTTTAATACTTCATCTCTCATATGCTTCAATAATTGCGACCGGCATATTAACTTATTTCTTGAAGCTGGACATTTCATTTCAATTACAAGCTGAAATCTTGGTGCCAAAACATGTTAGTCTGGAAAGGGAACATCTTCCTCCATCTCTGGTATGTTAAGAACACTCATTTCCAAATAATAAAAAAATTTCCTCATTTTCACCCCAATTTGAAGGTGTTGGAAGTTGGAGACGTCATCGTGGGCGGCGAGAACGGGATTTCCCAAATTTTGGCGATGTGGCGAGAGGCTGTGATAAAGACATCACGAACGGGGAAGAACCCTACTTGCCTCTTCCACTGCTGTCCATATGGATCTGAAAATGTAATAAAAGATTCATGTCATCTTTTTAAGATTTGTGCAAATTATTTTTTAATTTCATAGTATAATGTGGTGATGTTGTAATTGTCAGGATAAATTTCATCTCTTTAGCTGGACCAATGAATGTATGGTGGAAGAGATTGAATATTTAAAGGATATGGTTACTGATGTGAAAGGAGAGATTTCTGAAATGAATTTGGATTTCACTTGATTGGAGAAAGAGCTTAAAACGTGGGAAGTTGAAGATTGAATCCGAGATTCAGAGGAATGGTTGTTGTGTTCAAATGTAAGATTGTAATGTCACTTGCAGTTTAATTATGTAGTGGACGTTTCAATTTACCAGTTATTTAAGGAGGTGATGTAAACTTTGTTCGTTGTAATGATGTAATGTATTAATGGGATTATGTCGTTATGAATGTCTTTTACCCGGCAAGAGTTTTTCCTATATGTGCTTATTAACTGCTAATCGGCTACAGTTTTTACAATCTGAGTTTATAAACTGATCTTCTTTCATCTCTGGTTGACGGTTTAGGGTTTACGGTTTACAGTTTAGGGTTTAGGATTTACGGATTAGGGTTTATGGTTTATGGTTTAGGGTTTAGGCTTTACAGTTTAGGGTTTAGGTTTTAAGGAAGTAGTTTTGGTTATGTGCTTAGGGTTTTTTAAGGTTGTTATTTTTTAATGGGATTATGTCATTTGGTTATGACTATCTTGTATCCGGCTAGCGTATTTTTTACTTGTATATTTCATTTCATATCTGGTTAAATTGCACATGTTAACATGATTTTAGTCACTGTTTATAGAGTAGAAATAAGTTTCACGTACTAGACTTTAACGGTTCAGATTTTTTGGTTATTGGTTTAGGGTTTATGGATTACGGTTTACGGATTAAGGATTAGGGTTTATGGGTTAAGGTTTAGGGTTTAGGGTTTAGGATTTATGGTTTAGGGTTTATGGTTTAGGGTTTAGTGTTTATGGTTTAGGTTATAAGAACTGAGGTTTTATTTGTGCTTACAATGTTCTCAAGTTGTTATCTTTTAAGGGGATTATGTCATCAGGTTATGGCGATCTATTATCCGGCTACACTGTTTGTTACTTCCATAAGTCATTTCATATCCGGTTAAATTGCACACGTTTAACAGAAATTTATTTACTGATTAGGTAGTACAAATAAGTTATACGAAGTAGAAATTAAAAGTTCAGGGTTTTAGATTACTGGTATATGGTTTAGGGTTTAGGATTTAGGGTTTACTGTTTAGGGTTTAGGTTTACGGTTTAGGTTTTAGGGTTTACGGTTTAGGGTTTAGTTTATAAGAAATGAGGTTTTAGGGAATATGGTTTAGGGGTTAGGGTTTAAGGTTTAAGGTTTAGGTAATAAGAAACAAGGTTTATATGTGCTTACAGTGTTCTCAAGTTGTTATCTTTTAATGAGATTATGTCATCAGGTTATGGTGATCTCTTATCCGGCTACATTGTTTCTTACTTCCATAAGTCATTTCATATCCGGTTAAATTGCACACGTTTAACCGGAATTTATTTACTGATTAGGTAGTGCAAATAAGTTATACGAAGTAGACATTAAAAGTTCATGGTACTCGATTACTGGTATAGGGTTTAGGGTTTAACATTTAGGGTTTACTGTTTAGGTTTAGTATTTACGTTTTAGGGTTTAGGGTTAAGGGTTTACGGTTTAAGGTTTAGGATTTAGGGTTTAGGGTTTAGGGTTTAGGGTATCATAATGTTGTTATGTATTAATGGTTTTGGTCATTTGCTTGTTCCGATGTTGTATCCGGCTAGAGTGGTTGTTAGTGTTTATGTGACACCATAACCGGTTAGGGAGTACAGATAATATTCGAGGTTTTCAGTGTACCCGTTAACGGTTTTGTTGGGTTTTTTGTTTACATACCTATCTCTACATAACATTCTATACGAAAAGGGGGAAGTTTTAATACATATACCAACCAACATACATTCCGTACATACATTCTCTAGATGGATTTGATTATCCTTGAACTATTTTACAGTACCACCTTATTTATTCAACCATCTAAAATCCTCCAACGTTTCATACACTTTCCCAAACCTCCACCTGCGTTACATTCATCATTTCCACCCAACAACAACCTCCACCTTCATTTCATACATCATTCGTACCCAACTACAACCCCCTTTAACACACCGTTTAACTTCTTATATTGGTTCCTTGCAGGTTCCTTTGTTGTTGCCCAACTTCTTGCACCTGCTACAAGCTCTTCTACGACGAAATCCTTTCATCTGCATTAACAGAAAATTTTAGTTACAAAACTTAAATGACATAAAAACTGTCATTTAAGACATTAATGTTAATCTACGTTACCACTTTCTCTCCCTTCGAGAAAAATCTTTGATTCTAAGGCCTTCCCGGAGGACTTCGTGTAGAAGGCGGGTAGATTTGGAGACCATTAAGATTAGGCACTAAATCTATAACGCCTTTATATCCTTCAAGCGGATATATAGTCCCACCATAAGCAGCTCGCAGTTGACTAACCCCATAAACGGGTGAGACTAAGGATTCAACACCTATCTTCCCTTTAAAGGCAGCAGCAATCGCATGAGAGCAAGGCATCGCGAGCCTTTGAAATTGAAAGCAGCTACACGTCTTACTGACGAGGTTGACATGGAATCCCCCACCATCTTTCTCATGGACTTCATACTCTTTCTCACCTATATCAAGAACTTCATACCCACCAGCCATCTCGAAATTTTTAGTTAGAAGACCTAACACCTTAGGGGTTAGCTGTGATTCATGTTTATTCTTCTTCGCGAGATCCCGATGATTTCCAAACCAAGTCATCAGCTTACTATGGATGAACTCCACCAATCGTATGAGAGGTAATTCCCGAGCCTCATGCAATACTCCATTCAACAATTCCGCAAGATTGCTAGTCATCACATTATAACGGTTCCCTTTGAAATGAGCTCTAGCCCAATGGTTAAGTCCAATATCGAGTAGATACTCAGCACATTTGTGATCAATACCCTTTATCTGGTTGAACGTTTCGTTAAATTCTTCAAGTCTGAAGCATCTTGCAGCTTTTGCAGCGAGATACTCTAGCTGTGGCCCCTTAAAGTTGGAATGGATGTTTCTTTTCAAATGGACAATACAAATGCAATGACCAGCAGAGGAAAAAACCTGCACATGTAAAATACATGTTGTTAGAGACCAAATGTATGTGATTCCATTCGAAAATTATCCTTCCACATTAGACTTCTACAATTTAACCACTTTTTATTAAATCTTACATTGCTAACTCCTTTGAAAATGGATGGGTGCCTATCAGACACAAATACCAACTCTTGAAAGCTGTCTAAATAACCACTCCCACGATAAGTCCGTCTCGCCATCAACAACTGCGAATGCCAAGGGAAATATCTCGTAATTTCCATCTTGATCTGACACCGTCAGTAAACATCCACCATACTTCGCTTTCAAGTGTGTCCCATCCACCACCACCACTTTTCTCATGTACTCGTATCCTTTGATAGAAGCCTCGAATGCTACAAATAAATATTTGAAGCGGTGGACAGCTTGTTCGTTTGGGACTATGAGGAGTTCAACCACCGTACCAGGGTTGGCAGTAACAAGCTTGTTAAGGTAGTCTGGGAGCTTTGCGTAACCGGTGACATCTGATTCTTTTGTGTTCTCCATTGCCACATCTCTAGACCTCCAAACCTTCTAGTATGATATATTTACGTCTAGATCACCCCTCATCATTTGACGAATCTTCCGCGGTTTTGGACCTCCTCCTGATGGTCCAAACTTGTTTCGCAGAATCTCACCTATAACTGTGGATGTTGCTTGGGTTTCGTATCCACCTGATATCACTCAAATGTTTAACCCTAAGGAGTGAATTACTCTCTCAAATAAGAGGTTCAATCGTAGTACTTAGGGATCGAATCCACAAGGACTCTAGAATTACACAACAGATTGTTAAGTCTTCGAAATAGAGCTAGACAATAAGATTTTTAAACAGTAACTTAAAAGATAGCAAGTAAATGTTTGATTGGTTGATTGGTTTGTAAAAAAGAAGAAGGTAGTTAAACTTAGGTATTTCTCAGGTATGACATACATGCAAATTGTAAAGGGTTTTTATTATTCATAGTTCTAGATTCAAACTTTTAAGGAGATTAAGGATTAACTCCACTGGATCTCGGGTTAGGACTATCTTCCGATAACCTGTAAGGAATATCGATCGATGTTTCTATCGAGACTATCGATCGATGCTAATGCCGCTATATCGGTCGACATGGCTGTCGCTACGTAGATCGATATCGCATCCAGCGAGTGGTAGAGGTAAGTTTGAATTGGGTATCTAGTCTTCATTAAATTAACTTAGACTTAGGGGATTTTCCAAGCTATCGCTTGTCCAAATTGACCCTAATATCAGAGGTAAGGGTGATCAATCCTTGGCCTTAGCATTCATTGATAACTAGATTGAGAACTATATTTTAAACACCCTAATAATGGTTCTATTCAATGCATGAGTCAACCTTAATGAGAAACCTAAATCTAACAAGAGAGACTACTCAAACATATTCATGAGAGACAAATTCATGATGATCTGAATAATACTTTAAGATAATAATAAAAAAGAAACAATAAGTAAAAAGGGAGTTCAAGATCTTCTCTGTAATTGTAGTTTCAGATCTCTCCCTCTTCTCAAAAGATAGCTAGATGCTTCTCCTTATTAGGTCTAAAAGGTCTTCAAAGTTGTCTACCTAAACTAATACAAAACCCTCTTAATATAGCCTAACAGGCGGCTAGAGACTTAGTGTGTAAATTATTAAAACTCTTGTGAAGAAATTAGGGCTTCTAATCTTCATTTAATCGCTTGGACGACTTATGTATCGATCGATACAAAACTCCATTATCGTTCGATACGGATAATCATCTATCGGTCGATTGCTCTCAGCGTGCATCGGTCGATAGCTAAACATTGTTTTGCTCATAACTTCATAAAGTCTCCATTTTAGCTCCAAAATGCATGTTTTACACCAGTGAATACCTGGATCTGTAAAAGCTCTAAAAAGACACTAAAAGTATCCTTTTGTTTCCAAAAACATATATAAATCATGGCTGAAGGCGGGTAAAAACCATAATATATCAACTCCCCCAGACTTATCATTTTGCTTGTCCTCAAGCAAATAATAGAACATTGGTCTAGACAAGTT